GCCTAAATAATCAATGGATCAATGACCAAATTAAAACAGAGATCAAGCAACATGTGGAGACAAATGACAACAACAGCACAAAGCCCCAACTTCTGTGGGGCACAGCAAAGGCAGTTCTAAGAGGAAAGTATATAGCAATCCAGGCCTATTTAAAGAAGGAAGAACAATCCCAAATGAATAGTCTAAAGTCACAATTATTGAAACTGGAAAAAGAAAAGCAAATGAGGCCCAAAGTCAGCAGAAGGAGGGACATAATAAAGATCAGAGAAGAAATAAATAAAATTGAGAAGAATAAAACAATAGAAAAAATCAATGAAACCAAGAGCTGGTTCTTTGAGAAAATAAACAAAATAGATAAACCCCTAGCCAGACTTATTAAGACTTACTTTCCCTCTGAGCCCCAAAGTGGCCTCAGCGTCCTTTTCAACACAGGCAGCCCTGTCAATTCATTGAATTGGCCTAATTTGCCATTAGAAGCCTGTGCAATTTAAGGTAGAACACACTCCTTAGCGCTAGTTAAATATTCATAAACTTTTCCTTTCAGAGAAGATATGGGTAGAAGCATTTTTTTAAAACCATATTTCACTCTGGACTCATTTAATCTATTTCTTCCTCCTGCCTTCTTTTTTTTCCCCAGGAGAAAATAATGAATGTCAAAGGGAAAGTGATTCTATCGATGCTGGTCGTCTCGACTGTAATCGTGGTATTTTGGGAATATATCAACAGGTAATTATGCAATGTGATGAAATAAAGGTGATGCTCTGATCTTTTAGTGTTAGCCAAGTCAGCAGGTCGAATTAAAATTAGGATTCACTAAAACCATAAGGAGAGAATCCACCCTTCTCATATCCCTGAGCCCTTATATCACTTTATATTTATAATCATTAGATTTCCAAGTACCTTCTGGTTTAATTATCTTCCTTCCTGCCATGTGCCTGATGTCTTGACTTTTTGTACCTTTGCAATTCTGGGTAAACTATATACAGAAACAATAAACCCAAAATGTAACTTAAAATTATTTGTATGATGAGATATGGAAATCACCTTAAAAAATTTCAGACAGCAGTTCCATGAGAAATCCACTGTGAATTTTGCAATCCTAAAATATCTGCAGAGTTTAAAGAAGCAACTTAACTTGACTTTTGCTGCAAAACATACTCCACGTCGCTGGGGATTCATTTGTACCTAGCTAAAACTTTTGGGTTTTTGGGTTTTTTGATTCTAACTTTGGAAGGCAAAATGAACTAAGATTTTGGAGTTTTCAAATTCATCCGTGGATTCACCCCAGATATATGAGCTGTTTCTGTGGTTTTGGAAACTATAATGCCTAAAAGATTCCAGCTGGAGAAGCTTCTGACAGAAAGAAGTCTCTACAAACAGCTACAAAAATGCATGATGCCTTTGACTTAAGAGGCACTGGTACAGCTCAGCTTTTCCTCTAAAAAAGTCCATTGTATAACCCTGGGCAGGGAGAGCTGTCTTGGCACCATTAATATTTTCATGGCAAAGTGTTTTAGTAGCCCCCAAGTTCAAGATGACAGCCTGGATTAACATTTAAATGTCTCTTTCAATTCTTAAATTCTGAGATTTTGTGAGTCAACAGGACCTTTTTGGCTACTAAAAAAGAAACTGTACCTTTAGGTACATCAATCAACAGAAGGTACCAGAATATGGGAGCTATTATTTCCTGGGTGTGTATAAATCAAACCACTTCTGGAGTGTTGTTTCATTCTGAACAACTCATTTTAAGAAAAAACAAGTTAGAGGGTCACCTAGTTAAAGGGGTCTACAAACCACGTCCTCCAAATTGAGCAAACCAGGGGGTACTTAGTCCAGAGAAAGGTGACTCAAGAGTTGGGTGCTGGGACTACCCTTGGGTACTTGAGGGCTGAGGAAATATCCTCTCTGGAGTCTGGAGAAAGGCTAGCTGGGGCTGCTCCTGTGCTTCCACTTACCTCCTCTGTGACCTTGGGCAAGTCACTCAGCCACTCTGTTCCTTAGTTTTATCACTTTTAAAAATAGGGATAATAATAGCACCTGCTTCATCGTGTTGTTGGGAGGATTAAATGAGTTATTGTATATAAAGCACTTAGGGAAATGCCTGAGACTTAAGCACCAATAAATGCTAGCTGCCATCACCCATCAATACCACGCTCAGCACCCTCACCATCTCACCATCACTTTATCACCATCATCATTATCACCGCCACCATCACCATCATCTGCTCCAGGGGGCAGAGCAGAACAGGGGATTTTGGCAAACACAAGAAGAGCTCTAGCAGTTGGAAGAATCCAGCTGAAGAACCAATGCCCTTCAGGGTCCCTGCCCTGAGCTGAGATGCTTATGTGGATAACCTTTAAGCTATGAACACTTGATCAGACAACCCTGATGTTTTGAATCTCAGCCAGAGATGTACAACATATTTTGGGTAGTTCACAAAATTAAATATGGGAGCCAAAGACCAAAATGTTCATTTGGGCACTGACCTCCCAGAAGGAAGGTTATTTTGCAGTGCTGGGCGCACTCTCTCCGCACAGTAGCCGGAGCAGGCTCTGGCTGCTCTTCGGGGCCATAGTGTGGCACCCGGACTCGAGCCACGTCATTCTTCAATGTGAGGAATCTACTTGAATGTCTTCAAGAGGTTTAAACGGCAGCAGATCCTTTGCCACTTTGTGAACTGGCCGTGTGATGGCTTGAGGTGAACTGAGGGCACTAACCTTACACAGGCAGGCAGCCCTGAGCTAAAAAGGATTTAAAAATAACTAATTGAACACATCTGCTGATTAGTAACTAGGACTTTCGTCAGTAGAGCATTCTGAAAGAATGTCATCCAGGGAATGTCATCCAGGATAGCTTTTGATTGGAGGCTGGATGAAATTTTTTAAATCTTAGAATTTTAGAGCTGGAGGAAAATTTCAAAGTTATAATACAAAATGATGATGGTGAGGGTTATAATGATGATAGCAGCTACTAGTTATTGGTGTTTTCATGTGCAGGGACTTACCTCGGCACTATCACCAGTTCTTAGAATAGTTCTGCAAGGTAAATGTTAGTTCAGGTTTCTAGATGAGGAACTGGATCCCTGTAACATTAATGTTCCAGGTCATACATTCAGGAATATTTTGGTCCAGGGCTATATGACTGCAGCCCATGCTCTTACCCACTACACAATCCTTCCTTCAGTTGAGAGTTCTAATTTTTCAAGTGACAAAATGGAGACCAAATAGGTGAAGTGATTTAATAGTGAATTTATGTCTTGAGTTCTAACTAGAACTCAGATCTTCTGATTCATTGTCTGGGACTCCATCTGGAGCTACTTGTCTGTGCTGAGGGCCGTGAGAGATACAACATGAGCCAAGTAGACCTCCTGCCCTCAGGGGTTAGGATCTAGATGGAGCAAGGGGACATGCACATGGATAACCCATGACACAAAGCGGGAGGAAAGTCCGAGGTAGAGAAAAGGAGTGTGTGAGTTCAACAGAGCAAAGATTATGTTTGGCTTGGAGGGAGATCTGTTGTTTGCATTCTTTAACAAATATTTATTGAGCACCTACTATGTGCCTCGCACTGTGCCTTGGATCATATCCAGGCAGGCACAGAAGGAGTGGCTTTGAGCCTTGCAGGGGGAATACGTGTTAATTCCATTTACTGCAGGGTGGACACTGTTGTGACCATGAGGATGTTGAAGGATTCTGGGAGAAGAGGGTGAGGAGGGGAAGAAGGAGAGGTTGGTTATTAAAAAGATGTGACAAGGTAGAAAACATGAATCTACGAATTGGTGTCCTGAGTGCCAGGTGGCAGTCTGAGCCCTGGCTTGCAGTGGACTCCTCCACCTGCCAACTCCCCTGTAGGATCTGGAGTCAGATGCCCCAGGTTCAAATACTGGTTCTACTCCTTACTAGCAGACCTTGGGCTAATCACTTCAATTCCTTGCACACTTAATGTGCCTCAGTTTCAACTCTGTAGGATGAGAGAGACTGGAACGGACTTGTTTGACTGTTGTGAAGATTTGATGAACTAATGTGTTTAATTGCTTAGAACAGTGCCTTGCCAAGAATTAACTGTCAGGAATATCGTCAGAATTAATATAGGAACAAAGAACTTCAGAGCTTGGTCCAGGAGTGCTGGGCTCAGTGGGAAGCTGCAGGTGGGGAGAGGGCATGCCTTTTACTCCTTCAAGGAGTGGTGGACTCCTGGTAGGGGGCAAAGGCAGGGGGCGGGGTTAAGAGGCTAAGGGGCCCTGACAGAGTCTGAAATAATGATTAGCCATTTATTTTTTGGGGGGGGATGAGCAAGCTGAGGCCAGGCAGAGGCCTGAGTCCAAGTCCAGAACTCTCTCAGCCAGGCTATATCCGTTCTAATCACAGGGAGAAATGAACAAGTAAGCCTCAGCGTTCGGGCACAGTGGCCCTGCCCAGAATGGCAGAGTGACCCGGCCTGACAAGTTCTGTCACTTTGACCCCAGAATGTCTCTCAAGTCAATGCGCTTCTCTCCCCCATCTCCATAGCTGCCTCCGTCTGTGCCTGAACCACGCCACCCCCTCCTAACTGGTCACCCACATTTACTCTTACAGCCCCAGCAGTCTAATCTCCAGTGACCTTTTTCGGATGCACATAAGACCTTGTCCCTCCCCTGCTTAAACCCCTTCAAGAGCACAATCCTCAGCAGTTCCCAGCAAGACCTGGCTTCTGGCTGCTACTCTTTCAATTCCTTGCCGATTTAATAGTGCCTCCTTCCTTCCTCAGGTCTTTGCATATTTTTTGCTCTGTCTGAAACACTCTCTCTACTTCCTTTTCACCCAGGCTCTCAATATATCCTTCAGAGCTCAGTTAACACATTGCCCCTCCTCCAGGAAGCCTTCCAAGTCTTCTTGTTAAGTGCTCATAGTTGGCTTTTTAAAAATACTTCTTGGAGTTTGAAGTCATGTAGCTGTGTGATTATGTGAAGAAGGTCTGCCTTCCCTACTAGACTGGTATGCATTGCAAGGACAGAAGGACCTGCGTCTGTCTTAGCCAACACTGAATCCCAGCACTTGGCACGTAATGACGCTCAGCGAGTTACCTGTTGAATGACTTGAGGATCCTGCTACAGCAGTCATATATTCACTGGCCCAGCCCTGTAGGTACTTAAAACAGTTTCATTGCCATCATTAACTTAAGAAATGCCCTGTGAGACTGCTCCACAAAACGTTCCAAGCTGCATGTGGCACTAGGCTCTGAAGCTGTTGCTTTGTTTTCTGGGGCAGGATAAGTCCTGGGTAGGGACGGCTGGGCCATGGTGTTCCTGAGTAGGTTGCAGGAGGAGACCCAACTCTGGAACCTCTCCCTTGGTGAAGCTACTCCTAGACAACGGAGGGCTTTTTTTTTTTTTTAACTTAAGATTTGAGATGCTCCAGAAACCTTCTGAATATTCCTAAGTGACTCCAAGTGGAAATTCCCAGTCTCTTGACATCACTGGCTATGTCTCAAAGAAAGGTGGGAACCTAGGAGAAGCCAAACCCCAGGCTCTCAACTCAACCCAGGGCTTAAGCGATAATGCTTGCAAAATAGCTTTTCTCAGAATTCAGAGTAACATGATATGTTTTTATTTCTCATTTGCTTTTAGCCCAGAAGGCTCTTTCTTGTGGATATATCACTCGAAGTAAGTGCCCTACTAGACTTCTGTGCGATGTCTCCCCGCTTCTCTTGCACCCCCTACAGTCCAATCTTACCATAGCAGCTGGTGATGGAGGTCTGGTCCAAGGCGGAGGGGAAGGTTGGCTTCCCAGGGGTCTGGACTGCATTCCTCCCACCCCAGACTTGCCTTTATAGAACCGGGACTGGTGTTTTGCCCTTGCTTCTCATCTTCCAGTGGTGTCATTATTCCTGCCTTGACAGTTACAAAAGAAAATCAGGGTAGATATTGTCCATTATGCTGCCAAGCATATGTTGCATAAATGTCCTTGCAAAAAAATTTCTTTGAGACAAGGGATCAGGAAAAATGTTGAGGTCTCCCTATGAAACTAGTGTTTATTATTATTAAAGGCAAAGAGAACTATATAAGCCTTCTTTTTTTTATTGAAGTATCATTGATATACAATCTTATGTTGGTTTCCAATGTACAACACAGTGGTTCAACAGTTACCCATATTATTAAATCCTCACCCCCTCTAGAGCAATCACTATCTATCAACATAGAAGATGTTATAAAATCATTGACTATATATTCTCCATGCTGTACTACTGTCTCCGTGACTGGCTTATATTGTGATTGTGAATTATTGTGCCCTTTATCCCCCTCACCCTCCCTCTCCACCTGCCTCAACCCCTCCCCCTTGGTAACCACTAATCACTTCTCAGTGTCTGTGAGTCTACTGCCGTTCTGTTCCTTTTGTTTTGCTTTGTTTTTATATTCCACAAACAAGTGAAATCATAAGGTATTTGTTGTTCTCCACCTGGCTTATTTCACTGATCGTAAGACCCTATGGGTGCATCTATGTTACTGCAAGTGGCAAGATTTCTTTTCTTTCTATGGATGAATAACATTCCTTTGGGTATATATACCACCTCTTCCTTATCCATTCATCTATTGATAGACACTTAGGTTGCTTCCATATCTTGATCATTGCAAATAGTGTGGTGATAAACACAGGGAAGCATGTATCTTTCTGAATCAAGGATTTTGTTTTCTTCAGGTAAATTCCTAGAAGTGGAATTACTGGATCAAATGGTATTTCTATTTTTAGTTTTTTGAGGAACCTCCCATATACTGCTTTCCTCAGCAGTTGCACCAATTTACATTCCTACCAACAGTGGAGGAGGGTTCCCATTTCTCCATATCCTTGCCAACATTTATTTCTTTTGGATAGTATAAAGCCTTTGTTTTCCATCTTCAGCTTGGCTTGCGGGAAGCTCAGAGCAAAGTCTTGTGCTTAACCATTTGTACTTTCCTCAGCCTTCATTTCTGATATAATTTATTTCCTGGTGTTAAATCCTGGCTTTTATGCTTACACGCCATGGGATCTTGGCAACTGGCCCAAACCCACTTGTCCAGTATATCAGCTATATCACAAGTGGCTGGATGACCAAGGTCATATGAAAATACCTACCTGGGTGACTAAGTGTTTCTCTTTCTGTTCCCTTTGTGGGGTTTTTTGTGCCATTTCCCTGTTTATTGTAACTACATGTTCTTAATCATAAACCATCTCAGCCACCTCCTGAAAGTTGATGGGCTTTAAAACAGGTTTCTTAAAATTATTATGCCTGATCATGCCATACCATTTTATTTGTCCACCTGCAGGGCAGGTGCAATGAGGGGCACTGCCTCCCCTGGCCTCTCCCCCTTTTCCCTCCTCCAGAAGGCCCCCAACTTGGAGAGACTCTCACATTGAGAGTGTGGAATCCTCCACACATGGGTGGCAGAGGTGGCTGCTGATTACAGTTCCTGAGTTGCTGGTTCAGATTTCCTGAGGCTGTCACTGATGACCTTTGTAGCAACCTGAATTCTCGTAGTTTAGCAAAAGAGATCATTCTTGGAAATGTGCACTGTTTTTATTTAAATTAAGATTATGACTTGTTACAGTAATTGTCAACTTATGAATCTCTTTTACGTATGCTATTTCATGTAGTCTTCAAAGTTGTTTCATTTATTACTATCTGACTTCTCAGAGGAGAAAATCAAAGAGGGAAAATGCCCTGCCCCAGGCACACAGCTAGGTAGTGGAACATGCAGGACTCAGGGTTATGTGTTAAAGCCCCCTACCGTGTCACTTTTTTTCTGTCCTTCCCTCCCTCCTAGAGCTCCCTGGATGAGGAGCTGAGTGCCGGGCCCCGCCCAGTGAGGGAGAGGTCTGGCCAGTGTCAGGTCCATCCTCTCTCATTCAGCTAGAGCAGCTTCACTTCTGTTTTATGAAGTGGTGGTGTAAACAGAAAAAATTTAAGTTGTTTTCTGCCATAAAAAGAGTTTGGAAATCCCAGAATTTGGGACTACCTTATTTTCTAAAAATGTCTGTCATCTGTTTCATTTCTTAGAAACCCAGAAGTTGGTGACAGCAGCATTCAGAAGGGCTGGTGGTTTCCGAGCTGGTTTAACAAGGGGTAAGGCGATGCGACCACCCTCAGTGTCTGTCCCCTACCTGATGATTATAGGTAGAGACCAAAGAAAGCAGTTTCACAGGCATGGCTTTGTCTGTCACCTGTCTTTCTGCCTTATTGAAATCATAAGAGGTTCTGTGGTTGGAACTAGGACATTTAGGTTGTTTTTGTCTTTTCCACTTAAGCTGAGGGCTTGGGCTGAAGTTCAGATTGCAGGACCTGCTACCATAAGCTAAAATATTCTTATGAGGACTGTTTTATCAAGTCTCCCTGCTCCCTGAAATATCCTGAGGGTTACTGGGTCATTTAAGTCTAACTGTGCTGACTTGGAAGGAAAGTAAGAAAGGTGAGTACTGTGCCTTTCCATTAAAAGTATGTCTTTATAATAATCATGTAGTGTCATTGTCCTTCCTCCAGTCACATGAGGCAGGTGTGCCCTGCCTTGGAACGTATTTTCACCATAGTCACTGACTGTCCTGACCACGCAGATCACCCTCGCTGCCTTACTCAGCCGCTTTCCTTTGTGCGTAGGATCCACAATTACCAAGAAGAAGACATAGACAAAGAAAAGGAACAAAGAAAGGAAGACTACAAGAAGGAGCTTCAGCTATCAGACTGGTTTAATCCACAGTAAGGAAAGGAGCGTCGCCCCAAGTGCAGTAAATCCGTAACTCAGATAGGAGGGGGTGGGGCTGTGCGGGCAAAAAGCGCCATTGGGAATGTTCTAGACCAGGGATACAGAGCCTTAGCATCCATTGGACCTCAGCAGGAGGTTAGACAAGACACTAAGGGTCTGGATCTTTGGGCTCAAATGCTTGAGCAACAACACAGTGATTCTGACAGCAGTTGGCCAGTGGCAGCAGATGAATCACAAATACTGGGGCTGGAAGGGGTCTTACAGGTCCCTGGGTTTTATGGAAAGACACAGCATCTAGAAGTCAGAGCAAGAAAATTCTCCCTGAGATTCAGCTAACTCATTGTAAAGTGGCAATGATGTTAAAAAATCTCATGGGGCCATGCATGCATTTATTAAACAAGCTTACAACAAATATTTATCAAATGCCTTGATATGCTAGCTGCTGCTTTAATATGTTCAGAAACTAGCTTAATGGGTCAAAACCAGCTCTCTTTTAAAAGTTGAAATCATATAGAAAATCAGTGAGCATTACCTGAAGAGTAAATATTGTTGAGTTGAATTTTTATATCTATACATTTGTATATGTTCATCTGTTTGGTTGTGATGTAAATTGTATTTCTCGCTGTGGGCTGTTGTCAAAATACCATATGAGATGTTGTGTTAAGCACAGGAGGCAGGAAAAATTATCTATATGGTTCTGTGCAAGAAGTTCACAGCTTCTAGGGGCAGTAGATGTAAACTAGTATTTGCCAAGACTGGTAAGGAGGTGCGACCAATCTGACTTAGAACAATGTGGTCTGGGGAGTTAGGAGGCAGGAGCTGCCCAGGACAACCATGAGGCCTCAGAGACTGGTGGGTGGTGCTGGTACTGACCAGGAAAGGGGCTGGAGGAGGAGGCCCAGGCCAGGTGATGTATGTGTATTCAGGTACTTGTGGGCATCTAGACGGAGATTCTCAGGGTGCCTGTTTAAGTGTGTCAGGGCTGACATAACAAAATACCATCAATCAGATGGCTCATAAACAGCGGAAATTTATTTCTCACCATTCTGGAGGCTAGGAAGTCCAAGATCAAAGTGCTAGCAGATTTGATAACTTTTTGGGGCACATTTCCTGGTTCATAGACAGCCATCTTTTTGCTGTGTCCTCACGTGGTGGAAGGATTGAGGGAGCTCTCAGGGGCCCCTTTCATAAGGGCACTAATCTCATGCATGAGGGCTCTGTCTTCATAGCATAATCACCTCCCAAAGCCCCCACCTCCAAATACCATCACACTGTGGGGTAAGTTTCAACATATGCATCTGTGAGGGACACTAGCCTTCAGTCTACAGCGGTGCTCATGAGCTCAGCAAACGTGTGGTGGAGACGCTCCAGTGCGAGCCATCAGAGGACAGATGGAGAGGGATCTGTAGGCCCGGCAGGGGCCACCCGGCAGGGATAGAACCAACTCCTGCCTGACAGCAGCGTTTAAAGGGCTGGTGGAGGAGGAATCACTGTAGAAGGTAGGAGGATCGGGAGAGAGTAGCGTCTATTCCAGTGTGAGGGATCTCGGGCACTGGAAAGACTGAATATATTCAGGCAAGTCCTCCTACTGTTTTGGGAGAGGGGGTCCATGCCAGTGAGGAAGAGTAGGAATTTTGGCCTCCCATGTGTCAGTCGATAAGCTAGGCAATAGGGGAGCCATCTATGAGACGCTAAAGCATTACTGGAAATGTAAGAACGTGGAAGCATGGTGGTTTTGATGAGCCCCTTAGATGTGTATATGTGCGGGGGAGGTGAGATGCCCCAAAGGGTGGGCTAGGTGAACCAGACTGGTCGCCGAGGTCCCTTCTAGAAGGGTAGCACACTTTTACTGTGGTACCTGCGCTTTGCTGAGCAGGTTTTAGGGGGTGAGGCCAGGGCTAAATTACTGGAGACAGAGCTGAGAGACAGATCATGGCCCCATTATCCCCTCTCCACTCTCCCCCATACATGGCTCAGAGTCTCCCCAAATGGCCAGCAGATATTTAAAGGATGTTGGTTTGAAACAGCACCTAAATTAAGCCTTACCCAGGGCATAATAGATTTTCTGCCTGAATGAATGATTAGAAGAACATTTAAATGAATAAAAAAATTTCTTTATATAAATGTGTCCTTTGCTATAAAACACCTAAAACCTATTACAGTTGGGTGCACATTTCCACATCAAGATCTCAGCTTCTGTGACACCACATCCTCTTAATTTGCCTCCTACTTTTCCATTCCCCTTTCTCAGTCTCCCCGGTAGGGGTCTCTCCCTTTTCCCAGCCATCAAATATTAGTTTCTGGAGGCTACGTCCAGTACGCCTGTCTCTTTTCTTTAGGCACCACCTTCCAATGTGCTCATGTCCACTTCCGTGGCATTAGACGCCATTGGTGTGAGAGGACCCTGGCATGTTTATCCTCAGCCCAGGGGTTTCCTTTGAGCCTGTATTTGTGTCTGCTGCTTGACATCCCTGCGTGTCTCACAAAGCCCAAATGCATTTCCCGACTTCACTTCACCCTTGCTCTTCTCATTCTCCACCTCCAACCAGAGCCTAGGAGACTCTCCAATTCATCCTTTTCCTCCATCCACTCTGCAGTCTCATTCATCAACATGTCCTATTCATTTTTTCTCCAAAATTCTTCCTGCACCATCTCCTTTCTGCATGCTGCAGCCCCGACCCTGGCTGTGCGCTCCAGCTCTTTGCCGGATCACTCAGCACTGAGAAGGAGCTCAGTAAATAATGTGCTGGATGCATTCCCACCTTTTTGGACCTGCTGGATGATTCACAGAATTGTAGCACTTCCTCTTCCCAA